CGTGTAGGCCATACAGAGCCTTTCAGCCTGGGATGTCACCTTTTCCCACCATTGCAGCATGGTAGGAGACAGCATGATTGTAGCTCTGCAGGAGGTGTGGTGCTGCTTTCTCCAGGACTGCCCTGGTACCTGCCTTTCCAAGCAGGGCACACCCCATTTTAAAAAGCAGCATGGAGGGGGGAAAGGGACAGAGGGGAGATGTAGAACCTGGGTGGATGGAAAAAGTTAAGAGCAGAAGACAGGACGGGGTGGGGGCAGGGAATGATGTATTCAGACCAGTTAAGGAGCCAGCCCTGGTGGGGAACAATACTCTGATACTATGAGGTGATCACCCAAGGTTTTAAACAATTTAACAGGAAAGGTTGGCCAAACTGTGCAATGCTCCTTTGACTATCACATGTGACCTGTAACCCTGCTGTTTTTCCAGGCAGCCTGGAAAGAGCAGCTGGGTGTGCCACCCCACTGTCCTGGGGACACTGCTTCTGCCTAGGACAGCAGCAAAGACAAGTGGAGGCCACTGTGTGCTGTACTGAGCCTTGTTGTTGCCTTTCAGAGCACAAGATGGACTCTTGGTACCACACAAGCTAAACAACAGAAATCGCTTTGTGAAAGCCCTACGGGAGGCATTTGAGTCTACCCTCAAAGAGGTGAGAGCAAACTCCATCCTTGCATTTCCACTCCACCAGGCTGGGAGCAGCAGCTGGGAGCAGATCACTTTGGTGGACACCCCGCAGTAGGTGATTTCTGCTGAGTTGCACAGCCCTCACAAGAGGGAAAGCCAAATTTGCTTCTGCTGCCAAAGTCCCAAGTTGGTACTACCCTCTGGACCCAGCTCTTCCCAGGTCCTATCCCTGTCCTGTCCACCACCTCCCTCCCCAAGTGTCACACAGCAAACACAGCTTCCCTGAGGGAACACGTTCCCAGTTCACATCACCTTGTGTCCTTTCCCTCCAGCACATCCAGCTAGTAGAGGTGCCTGGGAGCCATTTCGTACACCTGAATGAGCCTGAGGTGGTCTCTGGGATCATCAGCAACTTCCTGACAGCACAGACCACCAGAGCCAGGCTCTAGGAAGCCCCCATCACTGCTGCAACAGGCCAGAACAGGAAGCTAAAACAGGCTGCAGAGGAATTCCCACCATTCCCACCATGCATCCAACGTCTTCTTTCCCAAGCTGAGCTCACTGCAGGCTGGAAGCAGGTCTGTTGGGGTGTTCCCTAGAGGAGCTGAGAAAAGTATCTCAATTGTTTATGGGAAAAGCAATGCATTCTTCACTTCCAGCTCTGTAAGCACAGGGATAGAGGCCTGCTCCTGACTCACACCCCGAAGTGGAGCATACAGGCAGACAAATCCTCTGCAGAAGCAGCAGCACTAGCATTTGAAGAGAGAGCTGGCTCATCTCACCTTCTCCCTGAGGATGGTGTGACCAGCTTCCTCCCAGGATCAGATTTACTGAAAAAACAGGAAAGTGTTCTGCTTCTCTGCTTACTTCTGTGGGTGCCTGAGCTCAGAGGGCCTGAGCATCCTGTTCTACTGTGAGAGCTGCTGCTTTTTTAAAAAACAGCTTACATAAGAGCTCACCTAGGCACAGAACACCATTTTAATGAACTCTTAGGAAATCAGTCACTAATCCTCTAGCTGAAGCAGCTGGGAGAGCTACTAATAATGGAAAAGTTGGCAGAGGTGATTTCTGTCCTAAATAAAGATTAATCTCCCAGTGTTAACTCCATTTTCTTGACTCTATTGGAAGGTGAATCTCCATTCTTTTGCAATGTTCAGCCAAGCAGCTAAAACACCAGGCTTAAGAGGCAGTGATTTTTACATGCATTCTGCTTTAGATGGGATGTATTAAGGATCCCTCTGCCTCCTAGTTAGGTTGATGCAAAAAGCTGACTGAAGCAAGCGGGTCTGGCAACTCCCTATGCAACTGAAACTGCTTTTGCAGTGGGTTTTCTAAAGGAAACTAAATCTGGTTTAACCCAGCTCTGTGGAATTTACCAGCATTTCCACCTTACTTCCAGGTTAGACATGGCTGTAGAGGTCCATGCACAGCTGGAAGACTGGGTACCTCAACACCTGGCTGAGAGGGAGCTGCCTGGGAGGGAAACACCAAGGCAAGGGGTAGTGTTCTGTACCAAACCACTGATCTCTACTTGTGACAACAGGTCTGGGAACTTCTCAGTTGGGTTTTTTCCAAGGTCACTTCCCTTCTTACAGGTAACACGTGCAAAGAAGCATTGGCGTACAAGCCATGACTTCAGTTGCCACCCGAGCACACAAGAAGCTGCCCCTGCAGCAGACCAAGGGAGAGGCAGGCATTCTCATATTTTAAGAACATAGCAGCAGTTTATTTACAGTTCCTCAGCTGTTCCTTGCCCCTGTAGAGGCTGTGCTAGATCAATCCCAGCTCACACCAAGCTTTAAGAGGGCCTTGGGTGGCAGGGAGATACAGGTTGTCATAGAAAGTGCCTCAGACCTGAGCAGCCTGGGAAGTGGTGCCACACGGCCAAACGATGGCAGAACAAGAGACAGCAGTGAGAGTGAAGGAAACCCTCTCCAGCAACAGTTGCTGTGATCTCCCATTCCAGATCCAAGGGTGGGGACAACCTGAAGCTGCCTCAGTTTGAAATCCTTTGGCACATGGAGTCCATAGGCACCTCTCCCACCTTCTCCACGACAGGCATCCGAGGAAACAGCTCCTCACAGCTTAGTACGGCCGAAACTTGCGCTGGGCTCGCATGAGGGCAATCCTCTGCTTGTCCTCCTCAAACTTCTTCCTCAACTGGGCAATGTCTAAAACAGGCAGAAAGAAGGCAGGTCACACGGCAGCAGATCTCCCTGTCCTGGGAAGCTTCACTTCCACACAGCGGGAAGGGCTCAGTCCTGACCCCCCGCACAAACACGTTTCCCAGAGCAGGTCCTTTCACGCCTGGGCTGAGCGCCAAGCTGGGGCTCTGGCCGTTTGTCTGCAGCAGTGCTACAGCTCCCTCTTGAGGAGAAACTGGTTTTCCCGTTCAGTTGCTGCCTTTGTGCAGACTGAAAACTCATCTTTTGGAAAGCCACAACCTGCACACTTTGCCACAAAATATTCCAGCAGCTCTTGCTAAGACAGGTGGTGTCAAGGAGCCCCCAAGAGCTGGAAACGCCATTTGCACAGCCACCCAGCCGAATCTACACCTGGACACAGCCTCCACTGAAGGAAGAAACACACTCCTTGGGTCATAGTGTGAGAGGTAAGAGACACGGGCAGGGGTGGGAAGAGACTGGGACACTCACGCTCTCTCTTGGTCTCACGATGCTGCCAGGCATAGAAGTTGAGCAGCTCTTTGCGAGCTCTTTTCTGTTTCTCCCTCTCCAGCAGCCGCAGGTTGGCAGCCTCTGTGCGGGGCAGGCCGGGCTTTCGGCCCTTCCGTGTCACCTTCACCCAGCCCTCCTCATCTGGAACGCCCTCCTCCTGGGCTGCTTTGGCTTCTTCCTGCAATGACAGGAGCGTGAGGCAGCTCAGTGCAGATGGGATCCCTCACAGACCCCCTTACATAGGGTTACAGCTCCTCCTTCTGCACAAGGTTTGAAGGAAAGTGTGGGACCAAGGGCACAGGCGTTCAGCTCTCAGTCACAACGCTGCACGGCAGCCAGGACCCCACATGTTTGTGAATACCTACCTACTGGGTGGAAATGTCAGGTGTTGTGGCCCAAACGAGGACGTGACTGCCCACCACCAACAGGGAACAAAAACAGCCTCAACAGCCAGTGTGCTTCCCTTTGCCTTTCCACCAAGATATCCCCCCTCCCATTCCCCTCCTGAGACAAACTGCTTGGCTGGGTTCCCTCCCCAGTCTGGCCTCACCTCTGCCATCTTTTTGTCGTAGTCTTCCATGTAGTTGTCCACCTCAGCCTTCAGCTCCTCCGGATCCACAACTGAGGCTGCATAGCTGGCAATCCACTCTGAGACAGAGAAGGCAGAAGTCAGCAGCAGCTTCTCTCAGAAGCAAGCACGATGCTTTTGGGCAGCTCTAGAGAGACCTATTGTGAGGATGGACAAACCCCACTCTTGTTCAGCACCCCCACTGCCATGGCAGTGAGCAATGGGAAAACCTTGCAACTTTCCCAAGCAGGAGTGGGGTAGCCTCAAGCCCAAGAGATGGAACATTCAGAGCTGTGTCACTGAAGTGCTGACATCTTGACAGACACCTGGTGTCTGTTATTGAGTTTGGATTCCATTTTGAGCAAGACACAGCTGGTTTCTCTGAAACTATGTGATACTGAAAAGATGTCAGGAAAAATTGCCCTTTCATTGTACCAAGTGACCCCATTCTGCCACAGGGTCACTAGACAAGACTAAAAGGTCCAGTACAACAAGCTTGCTATCTTGTGAATAATAAAAGCAGGACAATGAAACACTGGACATGACCTGGCTTGGTACAAAATGGTGATAATTAATCTGCAGAGGACTCAGCAAAGAAGGGCTATGGTTCCAGCAGGAAGCTACTTACTGCTAATGCCAGTTTTCACAGGGTGACTCTCTGTTGATATCAGCAAGGGACCTTCCTGTGACAGGGCTTTTGCTGCCTGGACACCAGCTGGTTTCTTAAACACCACATACGCTACTTGAAATCCCTTGGAGAGAAAGACACCATAGCCAGTCAGATACACCAGGGAAACTGGTGACACAGCAAAAAGCTGCAGTAAAAATAAACATAATAAAGTAAATATCAAAGCATAAGTTGCGGTGGGATAGCAAAAAAATAAAATATTTAAACAGACCTGTAAACTTAAAAACACGTGATCATGTTGCCCAAACCCCCAGATGGTTTTCCCATATAGAATGATAGAAGTGCTTTGGTTGGAAGACACAAACTTTAAGATTATCAAGTCCAACTGTAAGTCTAAGGCTGTCAAGTCCACCACTGAGCCGCATCTGTAGATGCCACGCTCCAAACAGCACCGTTCAGTCTGTGAGCAGCAAAGCACCACAATTCCTCCTGCCCGAGCTTTACCGTGGCAGGTTTGCAGCTGAAGAACTTGGACGCGCGTTTTCCTTTTTTGTCCCCCGGCTCCGGCTTCTCACAGACATCCACAGACTGGACGTGCCCGCAGCGGGAGAAGAGCCTGGACAGAGCGTCCTTGACGCAGAGAACAAGAGGGAACAGCTGGTGCAGGAAGGCAGGATCCCCCCTCACCCCTCTCCCCCCT